ACAAGAGTGCCAAAAAAGGAAGAGTCCAATTCCGCAAAACTTCTCAGATCAGCAGATTAGAGTTAGGTTTCTCATCTAGTTGTTCAGGGTCTCGCTCGCCACCCAAAAATTAACGCTGCCTGATTTTTTTGTTTCGGACGACGAGAGAAACTCTGATCTACTCGTTGATACTCAAGCCTGCCAATCTGAGGCATCTCACGAAAGTGGGTGGAGCTAACGAAGTGGGCGGAACTCTAGTGGGTAGTCCTCCCGTAGCAGCCCAAAAGTGCAAAAACTTTGGAAAAGGGTCGAAATTCCGCAAAAAGACGCTGTAGGGGCGGAGCTAGTGTGTCAGCGCTTCAATGCGCGTCTACGACTACCTCCGTTGTGTGAAAAGTGGATGTGGAATTGAACGGCGTTGAAAAAAGTTATAAATATGGAATTTTCAACAGACTCCCTTAAAGGCAGCGCCCACGTTCACTTGATGTTCCTACGCCCTTTCTGGGTATCATAGCCCTCCCCATAAGGATGCAGTATGTACTAGTTTTGCATCTCACAAAGGCGAGAGGATAGCGCCTATCGCTAGTAAAGAGTCGACCGCCCCGCCCACCTGGCGACCACGACGCCCAACTTCATTTCTAATGGTTGCCTGATGGTGCGGTTGTTCCATTGCTGCTTCTCTCCACGTCGAGTGGTGAGAGTGAGGTGATAAGGGAAAACAGCTGATATCAACAAGTGAGAACTCGTGCAACCACTCCTCTTCGCCTTAAGCACGTACAACCGCTATTCGGTATGAAACTCCTTATAGGGCATTTTGCATGTTTTCTTTTTGATTTTTCTTCACTAATAGGTTTCTTGCTACCTTGCTATTACTACCTGAGCCGCATACTCATCAAATTTGAACGCGGGCGCTGCCTTCAAGAATCAAGTCGCAGGCGAAAGTCAGCGAATCCAAACGGCATTAGCTCAGAAATGCAGAATCGGGGAAAAGCATTGAGCACGTATCGATTTTGAGAACTCAAGCATTGCGGAAGAAAGAACGTTTTCACTGTATTTTGAGCTGATAATCTAATGCATATTCACTCATCTATTCTCGCTTTTTTAAACAAATCTTCCCTCCAAACGCAATTGGAAGCACTGTCGAAGTGTGTCTCTCTCCACAATTGTGTAAAAGATGGACCAGGATGGGCTCGTAAGAGGCGAGCCTTGTAAACTGAGTGCGTCGGGGAGGAAGGTAGAATTCCAGATTACTGGTGCCCATGTGAAAGGGACAGCCTTCCAAAGAACTGTTCAGATGATAAGTACTTCTAACGCCTTCCCCGACGGAATGCCGGTAAGCCCCGTCAACCTCGTGACGCCTCGTTAAGCCGGTCAGCACCGGTATTGTTATCGTCTATAATGGATAAAATTGTTCTCCTCTATTACTTCTGGAATAAATCGTTTGTTAGACGGTTGGTTCTCAGCACACACTATTGGAGGGGTACAATCACAACTGATCCATTAACACGTACTATCGGCTAGGCGGCCGACTGAAGGCGAACATGGGCTCATGAAGAGCTAATGTATCATCTTACAGGGATGTCAGTCCTTCGCCGCATCACCGCAGCGAAAAACTCGGCACGCGCTATGTGCGCCGCATCAGTGAGTTTTCCTGTACCCCACCTATTCGTGAGGGTAATTACTCCATACTAGCGGGAGCAGAGCTCTGATTGCTGTGCAAGGTGCTAAGCATGGAAATCCAAAAAACTAAATTTGCAGAAATATTTTGGAATCCTTATTGAATCCATGGAACACTTCGCAATGCAGCTTGGTGAACCTTCAAGTTCCCATATTTGCAAGAAGCTGAAATGAGCTTTATCCTTGTAATAATGTGACTTTGAGAAGAAGTTGAACAGAGTATGGGAAGACTATAGAGAAAGATAGAAAACCAAGTGAGAATTGGAGGTATGCTGATAGAGTTGAGTATGCCGTTCTCTTTTCATGACTCGGAGTTCTTATCAGTAGTGCTATTTGGTCGATTCTTCAGTTCTTCAAATAGATATGCGTCCAATGCTTTTCGTCAATTCTGCATTTCTGCATTTCTCCATTGTCGCGAGCTATGAACGCGGCCCAATGAGCAGAAATATGAGGAAATGGTCAATATTTCGAAACATGGAAGTCAGGCCAAGTGTTAGGGGTCAGCACAGAAGATCCTGTCAGTGATCAGGACCACAGGTTGAACCATGCGCGCAGAAGTACGCCTCAGCCAAACTGGTACTAATCAGATAGGTGGTATAAAATGAGTTCTGAAAGAGTACCACTCACAAACAAGGTGCTTCTTTTCCGGAATGAAACCTCATAAATCCATGAGCAACAGTAAGAATGTGATATGGTGAAATAATGGAACCGCCAAGACGATTCAGACCATTCTGCAAGAATGAAGTTGTATCGAATGGAGTAAATCTCTTCAGTAAATACTTGATTATTGTTGGTCAGTCTATTGATTGTTCATTCAAAAAAGGACAAAAATTGTAGAAGTAGGTACAAGTTGATGAAACGTTGGCACAATTCAGCCCTTACAACCTCTGAATCTCATTTTCCTGCTGAGACTGATGGTGCTATCTATTTTCATTCGCCATTCAAACTTCAGCTTGTAGTCTTGGATCGCTGGCGGGGAATGATGGATCGGTATGGGCGTGGTGCAGCGGCCAAGCACAGCTTTTTTTCGTTACTTTTGCTTTACAGGAGTAGCGTATGCATAGGATCGCATTAGCCATAGTATCCCTCTTCCAGCACCGTGTCGTGACATATACGCTTTCAACAACTCGTAGAGGACTGGGGTAACGAGAGCAGGAAACTAACCTGCACTAGGCAGCACACACGGCTAAACTTTAGTGCTTAGGTTTTCCGGTACTAATGTTGGCGGCGAATGAAAGCAGCGAGCAATGCATGCCTACTAGACAATGAATGATGTGGCTGGACTAAGTTTCGCCCGCAACAGTGGATCGGAATATGCACGCCTTAAAAGGCCTGTTCAGCGAGTATCTAGCAGTTTATTGTTTTTTGCGTGGGGCCAGCAATATTTCGCGGCTCTGAGCTAAGGGTGAACTGAAAAATGATTCGCTTCAAGCAGTGCAGCGCTAAGTAGGGATAGACAACAAGAGACGCCTTCTTTTCTATCCCATACTGAAAATGGAGATGAGATATTCTTAGTTAGCAGTGCAATTACCCTACAGCATGCGGGTTTGGACTTATTTGGTGAAAAAGGGCGGTTGGCGTGTAGAAGAAGGTGTTACATACGCGCACATGGTATGGTATATTGATATCGTTGGATGGCTTTAGGCTAGTCTAAAGGGGCGAAATTTGCTCTTGGGATTGTTTGGGCGCTTGAGCGGGCAAGTTACGTGCTGGGTCTTCTAGTGTTGTTCAAGGCTCAGACGAAGGCGAAGACGCCCGGGATGTAGAGACGTGTAAGGCCTGGTATATGAAAGCGATCCAATCTTGTAGCAGCTAGTTACAGGACTTGAAGACATACGAAGGGATATCTAATGGCATGCACATTGCAAGAAGTCGCACGTGGACTATTCTAAAACCCAGAATATTTTAAGTTCTATTAAATAAATAATGATAAGACCTTTAACATTATTGATACCGCCCAAGGGTACTCTCGCTTGTCATAAAATGGTTGACGACCACACATTTCTTCGAGTTGCTCGTTCATCTCCAACGATACGAAGGACTCTTCACGAACTGCAAAGGAAGACATTTCAGTGATACAGCGGCAGAGTACTCAAATATTGGCAGACTGAAGGGAAAAAGATTCCTATTCCATGAATTTGTGAACAGCGGAAAACCTTTCAACCTTTTCGCTAGAGAAATGGCTCAATGTCAATAGTATAAAGTGTCGTTCGCTGTGGACAGTTGGGCGTGTCAGGGATGAGTTTGGCGCGGTGCCAAACCCGTTCTCCACCAGTTGTTAAAGCGAGCAATGATATGACTGTATCATATCGTTCGTATTACTCGTTTTCTACCACTTTTGTCGCATGCGCGCTTCAACAAGAAGGCAGAGAATGGCTTTGACGGCGTGACACTTTCGTACTGCCTCACACGCCCAATTGTCCCAGCGAACCATAGTATACTTTCCACAAGAGGGAGAAGGGGGACGGTAAAGTGGATGAGGAGTAACCCTTCGCTTCATTCAGAACTCGGAACCAGATCTCATGATCTCTTCCCAAGCAAGTGTGTTGGCTCTACGCCGGAGCGTAGGCCTCTGAGGGGGAAGAAGGACAGACTCTCTCGGTGAGGCGACGGCAGCACCCCAGGGAGCGTGAAATCTGCTTGTACTGACCTATTCAGTGTTTCAGCAGCCTTGATATGACTTTCTTATGGCGGAAAGCACTTATCAAAACGAAATCTTTTTGCTTAGAGACGAATTGTACACCCAACCTCCGTGATCTGAAGTGTGGGGAAAAATGCTTTCTACGGTAAAAAGTGCCAAGTAAACTGAGCTGAAGGGTAAAGTGCAATTCCCACACATCGGTGGCTTACCCTTACACACCTTACCATAGCTACATGCGCTATCTGCGCTTACTCACTTCCAGTTGTTCTCTACCGCTTGGAGCGTCTTTCGCTGCGGGACCTCGATATCGGCGTGAGCTCTGCATTTTTAACATAGTGCGAGGCGAGTGTGGAGTCGCCACTCGGGTATCAGTACCATTCAGCCCTATTCTTCTGCACTCTCTAGCGGAGAGAGTGGCACGCTGCTACAGCTGAGGGCCCATTCACCTCCTACACAGCAGAGACCATACTCGGAGATGAGTGTGCGATTTGTATGTGAGTTCATTAAATAGCGATATCCGCTGTGACCAATACATGCAAGTTTTTGGTTCTGACAGAGTGACAGTTACGTTCCCACGAGGATCCTCCCTTAAAATTTGTCGAATCTGTTCTTGCATTCGATTCTCGTATTTAATATTTTCTTCTTAGCAAGTCAGAACGGTCAACTCCCTGAGACAAGAAACCCGAGCCCATCCGGTGACATTTTCAGAAGCGATGGAGAAGCGTTCATTCAAAGGCATGAGGCGCGATAAATTGATACTCGGTCCAAA